TTTTCATTTTAATCGATCACGTTCGAAGCAAATTTCATTTAACGTTATTTAGGAGCAATTTATTCATGGCGAGCTCGATCGAACGGAATATAAACGGCCGATGAGTCTATCACGGTCCTATGCAGGCTTGGAAATATTTTTGGACGTTGATTAAATTATTTTAGGATCGAATAATTCAGATGTGACAAGATAGTATGCAGTTCAATTGTTTTTATGTGAAATTTATGGCTATGGGAGAGAGATATATGTGATGCTAGTTTAATGGAAAAAGATACTTGAGATGGATTTCCTTATGAAATAGTCTTATACTATGAAAAAAAGTTATTTAATAATAGAATAATTTTCATATATCCAATGAAAATTATTAATAATTAAATATAATTTTTAATTTTATAGTATAAATTGACTGTAGCAATATCTTCAAATGGTATACAATGAAATTCTTATAAAATAGTCTTATACTATGAAAAAAAATTATTTAATAATAGAATAATTTGGTACTAATGAACTTCCGTTTGAAACATACTTCTGTTAAACTCGCGATCCCGCTCTGGCGTATCGCTGTTGCGACTTTGAACATTTCCACTATGAAATGATATTAAAATTAATTATTCTTGCCACAAAGACACCGGGGAAAATTGGTAACACGAGTCGATAAGAGCCACGTGGCTCTACGAATGTTCAAGAATTCTGAAAAAAGCTGAACTCTGTCGATTTAAAATTCCAACAAAGATACTATCCCTGAAACGATAATCGAAGTAATTAAATTTTGAAAAGACCAAAGGCGTAGGGATAGCAGGACTCGTTTCGCGTATCGAAAGACTTTTAGTGTGTGCGTTCTGCTCTCCGATGGGGGGCTTAATCTACGTCGGTACTTTCTCCCGTCTAGGGACTTTAGCCCAGATGGTATTCCGGATTAACGTGCGCGGCAAATACGAGACGGGCACGGTAAGTTTCGAGTAACGCCGCCCAGCGACGACGACGACGACATTGATGGAAACGTATTAAATGCCCCGAGGCGTTCTCGCCCGCGACGTTGAACGTCCTGGATAATTCGAGCGTCGCGTTTCGGCTCTCCCGCGAGGAACGCCGTAATTACGGACGGCACGCTAGTCAGAAACGGGGGGAACGGGATGGAACACGATCGTGAAAAATTACCAACACTCGCCGGGAGAGAAACTCCAACGGATGAGATCTAAACCGTCGTTGCGACAGTACAGAAAGACACACGGTCAAAGGAGCCTCTATCCATCCTGGAATGAGAAAAGAATCCTAGAAAAAGAGAGACATATGGGGGTCAATTTATTCAGAATTTCTGAAACATTACGAAATGGATTTTATTTAACTTGGTGCTAGAAACATTTTAAAATTCGCTCCAAATGATAACTACGTATGGCTCGTTCATCAGTCTAGAAAGACACACGGTCAAAGGAGCCTCTATCCATCCTAGAATAAGAAAAGAATCCTGGAACAAGTCCAGAGACATATCGAGATCATTTTATTCAGGATTTCTGAAACATTACGAAATGGATTTTATTAAACTTGGTGCAAGAAACATTTTAAAATTCACTCCGAATGAAAACTACGTCTGGTACACTATGTGTGCCTCGTTCATCAGTCCAAAAAGACACACTATCCATCTTAGAATAAGAAAAGAATCCTGAAAGAATTCGAAAGACATATCGGGATCATTTTATTCAGAATTCCTGAAACATTACGAAATGGATTTTATTAAATTTGCTTGCAAGAAACATTTATAATGAAATTCACGTCTGGTACATTACGTATGCCTTGTTTGAACATGTCTGAGGATTAAAGCTAGTGGTCAAAGAAAATCACAAACAGTTTTGCAAACAGAGGGGCTGCCGGGGCGCGAAACGTTCACGCGTGTCCAACGCTTGAAAAAGCGTACGTGACTTTTTGGGAGCCCGTTTCATGCGCAATTGTACGCGTGTCGCGAGCAAGTTCAAAGTCAGGGCGTCGCGAGTGCTTTGAGAGAGGACGCCTCGACGCCGGATAAACCAGCGTAGCGCAAGTGGGCGGCCGTGTTGCAACACGAGTGTATTTTATTTAGTTTGGTGCACCGAGCCAGCTAATAACTAACGGGGGACCTGCAACACCGGGAGACGAAATTGTATTGCAACGTCAGCATAATTATCCAGTCTGACAATTCAGTTTTTCTAGAGCTTCTCCAGAAGATATTCTTGGGAAAATTCGAAGCAAATTTAGCACGGAGGAAATGATCTTTTATCTCATATTATTTGCCAGTAGTGAAGATAGTGTTATAGCTTTCTCGAATAGATTTTATCAAGAATTTCTACGTGTATAAAAATTTATACTCGTCTACGTTATGAAAGACTATTCTATGTAAGTAAAATTATAATATAGATCGCACGTGTGAGACTTTCTCTGCGGTGGAATTGTCAGCAAAAATCGAGATGGACCCGTTTCTGGGGATTTATCAGCGTCCAATTTGCGACGGTAGAAGTCGACCATTATGGCCGATGAAAGGAGAGCTGGCTTTCGGATCCGAGCTCCGGTAAACAGCATAATTCGCCATTTTGCACCGGGTAGGCGAGATCCAAGCGACAGGTACATTGTCGAAGTAGCACGGAGAATCGAGGGTGTCCCTGTAAAGTCGCGTTGACCCACTGAAGAACTCGCCCAGCGATGTCACCTCGTTATTACTATTCCCCGACGTCCACCGCGGGCATAATGGGACACCGTTCGTTGGATGTCCCCGTTGCCTCGGAGAACTCCGATATTTCCCGCGGAAATAATGCCGTGGCTCGAGCAATAGGATTTCTTGCCGATCGGGGACCCATTCTGTCGCGGCCTCGAAACACTTTTATCATTCGTACGCGAGTCTCGACGAACGAAAACGCAACGGGAATGGTATTGTTGCGGCTCTCGAACGAGACTCGATGCATCGAGGTTTCGAATTTATCACGTGCATTTTTTATTAATCCGACGTTATTAATGTACAGCTCGTGGCGTCGAGGCAATAGTTTCAGAGACAATACGTGAATATTTTAGCTCGAACACGTTTCGATTGATTAAAATTCATGTTCCCGTCAGTATTTTTCGAAAGTATAATTTCGGTTGTCGAGAACTAATCACTGTCGAATGAACCGAGCGTCGATATTACTCCCGGAATATTAACATGTTCGCGACCGCTGACGTAATTTTACGTCATATTCAATTCTGTAACTGGTGGCCGTAACTTTATGTCATATTCGATTCCGTTACCGGTTGCCGCAATTTTACATCATTGTATATTTATGGATGACTTCGCGATATGTATTCGTAATTACAGCCAACAATAAATGCATACGAATTTCATCGAAACGAACGTTCCATGTTTAAACAGCCTCGATTCGAAAATCGAGCAAATTTTTCTACTCGTCGATGATGTTTACGAAGAACCCACCGCAATTTTACCAGTTACGAATCACTTTGTGCGGTCTCTGGTTGCTTTTATTTCAGCTCGAGATCCCTCTTTCCAGCTCTCCGCGGAAACTTGTACGAGGAAATTGTCTACGCGCGTGCATCACGCGCGCCGATAAGCGTTTCCAGGTACCTTATCAACGAGCTGCCTTCTTCGCGCTTCTCAGGACGTGCCAGCTCGCTTCCCAGAAAATTTCGCTTTTCCCAGACCGCGTTGCTCTTTCTGTAACGCGAAGATACTGCGAAAATTATACCTTAACAAGTTTAATAAGAGCCCCTGACGTAATAATAGCTTAAGCGCGGATAAGTGAGTGGCAGGAATGAAACTGGAGGATTAGAACCCAACCAGGGTTCGCCAACCTTTCCGACTAACAGTCGAAATTATTCTTATTTCGTTTCTTAAAGAATGAAATATTTAACGCGAATTTTCTGATAGACTGTACGTTCTCCGGGTCTGGGCAGAGCCCGTGGAAAATAATTCTCGAAGTTGGTGGCACTTAAAGACACGTATTGGGTCATAGAGTCGTCTCCTTTGACGACGAGGAAGCGCACGGTTCTCGAAAAATTTATTAAAACTCCGGCAGGATTTCGCGGCAAAGTTTTCCCGAGACTTCCGGGAGCCACGTACTTACTTGGACGGGAAGTTCGAAAGTGGTCGGTTTAAGAATTCCCTTTCGACCGCGAGGACCTCCCGCCCGCGGTGAAAATTCATAGCGCGTCAGAATTTCCCGCGAACGGGGGGCGTCTGCCACGTCGTCGGCAACTTTTCCAACGTAATCGCTTTCCCACGTTCCCGATACGCTCGCCCGTTCCCCGTCCTATTAACGCCCTATCCCGGGTTTATTCTACCATTGTACCCAATCACCAACACCTACAGCCTCATTCAAAAATTGTACTCCAGCGAAAAGCGAAATCAAATTTATAGAAATTGCGTAGATGTATTTTATGGCTTTCAAACTTGGACAGAGGTTTGGATACAGATATTCTTTTATATTAAAATATATTAAAATTATTAAAACACCTCGTAAAAATGATCGAATTCTGAAGATACCAAGGAATTATAAAACAACCCCTAATTTTTAATATTGACTCTGACTAATAATTTTTGACCAAGTAGTTATATTTAAACGATAGATTCATGGTACGAAATATATTGGAGAAATATTAATGTCGACTATAAAAAATGTCACAGAAAAATTACTAATATTAACACTAGATTTAATAGTCTGATTCCATATTTAAAATTACAGGTAAATATTATTTTTTAACAACTTCTGTTGAATTTGATTGATGCAATGGCACGAATACATATTCTAATTAATAGAAAAATCGTATTTTAAGGTAATCATCAACATCAAAGGTATCAATAAATATACTTGCGATCAATGCCCCTAAATCTAGAATTAAAGATCTTTTTTGTAAGTTTTCAGCTGTAAAACACGTATGAAAGTTTTGCCCTGAATCTTTTGGCTCGTAATAATCGTTTTAAAGATATAGTGATGGAGGAAAAGGAAGTGAGCGTGGATTTTAATCGACGCTACGTTTGATTTCAGTGAAGGAGGTTACGTTGTCCGAGCTCAGGGACTCGATAGCGAGGTTACGAGAGAGGGTGAAGCTAGTATGCCGAACGAGGGGCTCACCACCCCCGAGGGTGCACTGGCTGAAAGACGGGATACCGCTGCACCCCCGCAGAGGCCTCAGGATTCAACACAAACGGTGAGTGACACGACTTTCGCGACTCCATGGGCAACCTTCGTTCCGCCGCGTTCGTTTCAGACCACCCTTTTCGCTTCGTTGCGTCGGGGATGTTACGCGTGTCGCTACGCGAACAGTCGAGCCGAGACCTTTTGTCTCCGCGCGTCCTCCGCGATTACCATTCGCGGAGAAACTATCGGAAAAATTCGCCCAACTTCGATCTCGTCTCGACGCGACAAAAGAAAATCGTAAAAAAAAAATTGTCAAGCTATCATAGAATAAAATAATTACTCCGTGTTTGGTGGAAATTGACAGAGCTTTCAAACTAAAATTGTTTCAGGTTGAACGATGGTTACAAAAAAAATAAAAATAGTAAAGTAAATAGAGAATTGATTAAGGTAGTTTTAGATTTCTTAAATATTGTTCTATTTGCAGAATTAAATCTGGATCCTGATAATGGAACGTTTTAACGTTGAATCGAACTTTGCAGACGTCTGATTGCTTTGAAAAACGATATTTGTTTAATCTGATGGTTTAAGGGATGATAATACTTGTTTTCCTTCAAATTATACATCGAATACAACATGGTAATTAACAAAAACCGCATTTTTAATAAAGAAAACTGATCATTCTTGGTTAACCCGAAAAATATGAGCGTTAAGGGGTCACTCTGACCGCGTGCTTAGAGTGCTATCGGGATTAACGACCGCCAGGGGCTCGCAACGCGGAAAGTTGCGATATTTGGCCGCACGAGACCGGAAATTGCGAGTTCCATCGCGGTAGGAAATAGCAACAAAGAAGTTGACCGATTCCGTCGGTGGCGCGTTTCCAACGCGATCGTAAATAAGACGTTGCCAAGCCCCTGGCGGATTCCCCTGCCGCGGTACACATTAATTACCACTTAAACGAAGTCGCTTCGTGTTTGGCAACGATTCCGTCGAACGAGTCGCGAACTTTCGACGCTTCCTCTTCGTCCATCGGCTTCTAATATCGTTGCCAAGTGTAATACTCGCGTGACCATCGATTTTTTCGCCCGGTGTCGCGTGCCACCCCAACGATCGATGTTATTATCGTCGATACCCTCGCGAACTCTGGAAATAAATTAAAGACTCCCCCGGGTTACTTCGCCTGGAAAATATTTGACAAATCGTCGATATTTACTTCCAATGTTTCAATTTCTCCTGTTCTCTGGACCTCTCAAATCACTGCAAATCACATCTACCATGTTTGATAAAATATCTCTTTTGACGTGTTATTTTCGCGAGTACTTGCATAAATCATCTAACTGAAAATAACTTAAAGACTCCCCGGGTTACTTGGACCGAAAAATATTTGACAAATCATCGATATTTACTTTCAACGTTTCAATTTCTCCTGTTCTCTGGACCTCTCAAACCACTGCAAATCACATCTACCATGTTTGATAAAATATCTCTTTTGACGTGTTATTTTCGCGAGTACTTGCATAAATCAGCTAACTGAAAATAACTTAGACTCCCCGGGTTACTTCGACAATTTCTCCTTTTCTCTGGACCTCTCAAACCACTACAAAAATGACATCTACCACGTTTGATAAAATATCTTTTTTGCCATCTTGCATAAACCAGCTAACTGAAAATGACGTAGCTTTTGAGTCGAATTTTACAATGAAGCAAAATCTGATGGACCAAAAATTGTGGCCCCAGAATGCACGGAGATAATACACAGTAAAAATGAATAATAACTGTTCGAGTGACTCTGGCTTAGAAATTGATAGAGATAGGAGAATTTCTGGAGGAATGGTGGGTGTATGGGCACGTTCCGTTTTAGAAACGAGAGGATCCGGTATATCGCGCGGAGGGATCGAGAGAAGGGAGGGTAGATTGATAGCGGGAGTCTCGCGTGGCGAGCACGTGTCCAACGCGTTAAGGCGATTGGCACTTTGTAAATCCCTGGCGGAATGGCGCGGTTCAACGGTTGACGCGGCACGGCCCTGAGAGCCGTAATAATTTCAGACGGCCTTTCGGCCGGATTTACTATCCACGGAGGAACGATTATAGCGAACGAGCCGCGGCCCTCTTCGCTGATGACTCAACTGTTGGCAACACGCTCGGCTCCCGAGGCTGGGGTACTCTTTAAAGATGATGTATTCGCGTGACACGAGCGTGCACGATGGAAACAGATAGGAATAATTATCAGTTTAATTGTAACTATTCATGGAACCCGGCTACACCCCTCCTGGTCGACGATTTACGAGGAGAACCGAATAAATGGAGAACTCGCGTTCCCGCGCGGGGGTCGTTAGTCTTTGGATATTATTAAATGCCCCGCCAGGAAGATAAAAATTCAACTTCTCTCAAAATTCCTCCCGTTCATCTATGAATTTTTTTTTGACATTAAATTATATTAAAAATAGAGAGATCAGATTTCGCCAAGTTTTGAAAATTACTGTCGAATAGTTTCCTAGTCCAGAACAATGCGTCGTCATCCACATTATGCATGTATCAGGTCCCTGCATACGAAATGGCCGATTTCGCGCGGAAACTTTAAACTTCCGTAAGCTCGTTTCAAATAAACTTTTTTAATCGACGTCAAATCTGTCGTTGCTTATTTCGATTAAAAAGTAGTTCGTTTGTAACCAAGTTACGGAAGTTTAAACTTTCCCCCGCGCCAATTTCGTACGCGACAGCCTGATACATACGTAATGTCGCTAACTTCGCACTATCGCGAGCAACTGTTGAACTATTCGCTGGAAACTCAATTTCTAGTGTTCCGGGACGTCCTGAAAAATCGTCGGGACTTCCCAAACGGAACAGAGTTAAAAATAAAAAATTGCTGACAGTCCTGCAAGTTCCCAGTCTCCGCAGGATCGATGTTTCGGTGAATTTTTTTCCTGGTTTCGATGCATCTTTGAGTCGAGTGACTTCGTCGGGGATCCCCGGGACTCTTCTATTCGCGCGCATTCCGCGAGGATGGAATTTCGAGGACTTCGCAGATATCGGAATCACGCGCGACGAGGGTGCAACGCGAACACGAACCGAGATCCTCGAGGACGCGCATTCAGAGGTCCTCTTTTGCGAACTGGGACGGCAGGCTTTGATGTCTGGCGTAATGGAATCTCGTTCTCTCTGTCGGCGTGCTCGTCCCTGGTTAGCTCGACGGTGGAATTCCACGGCAAAGACACCGATAGGAAACTGTTGCGCAACGGGACGACGGTAGACCGTGGGTAGGAGCGTCAGCGACGCCCCTGAAAGGAGCCCCCCGACGCCGCCTCGCGACATTAATTTTCCTGACGGGCGTTCAATCGACTTGAAAGCCGACCGCGGTTCGAAATTTCTCGTCAGTCGAATTAAGTAATGAACGAGCTTGCGCGGAGAACGGAGAACGGAGAACGGCGTCGAGACGCTTCTAGGGAAACGCGCTGGTCTCGTTCGATCGGAAAGGAAACGGAAAGGAAATGCTTTTCATCGGGTCTCCACGCTCGACAAATTATCAACGTTTCAACCAGCAAGCGTCCTTTAGGAAGTTTCGTTCGTGGATACGCGTAATCGTGTCGCTTTTATTTCACGACAAATTAATGTGTGCTGAACTGAATAGATGACTTGAACTTAGGGTTCTTCTTTGAGTATGTTCAATTAAGGATATAATTTAATTAAGTTTCATTTCACGACCAAATAATCTGTACTTGTATCACTTTTATTTCACGACAAAATAATGTGTGCTTGTATCTTATTTGGCTAAACTGAATAGATGACTTGAACTTAGGGTTCTTCTTTGAGTATGTGCAATGAAGGATATAATTTAATTAAGTTTCGTTTCACGACCAAATAATCTGTGCTTGTATCTTATTTGGCTAAACTGAACAGATGACTCGTTTATAAACTTGAATTACCAATAATTGCACGAAGGATTTATGGTTCTTCTTTTAGTATGTACAATTAAGGATATAGTTTAACACTTTACCGACCGGTAGCGGTTGATTAATCGGCTATCGGTCGGTAAGCGTTGGTCGGTAAAAAAGTTGATTAATACGCTATCGGTCGGTAAGCGGTGGTCGGTAAAACAGTCGATTAATAGGCTATCATTCGGTAATGTGTTAATACGCGTTCTTAGGTGCCTTTATTCCTGTAACGATTCTAAATAAACAGTAATCTTGGCCCACGTTGGCGTATAAAGCACCAACGTCTCTGATTTCGTATACGAGTCGCCATGACAGAGCGTACGGAACGTTTTTCGTTGGATTCTGGGGGCCAGGTGAGGGTTAAACGGTGCCAGATGTTGGGGATTCACCTGTGTGTACAGATTAATGAAACAACGGGGTCGAAGACGAATCGCGCGTCGCGGCGCGGAAGTTTGATGAATGGCGGCGGTCACGGCTGGCAATTATTCCGAAATTATCACCGTTCGTGCGTCGCCGTTACGTAAAACCGTGTTCCCGGGGCGTTTATTATCCGGCGGCAGTAGTTATCTCGCTAATTTGTCATCCGTAAGTACCGGGGACGGAGGGCCGGGTGAGCACCACGGGCTGACAAAAGTGCACCGTCGCGCGAGAGGGCCCTTATCGAGAGTGCTTCCGCGACGTTCTTCGCGCTCCCTCGTCCCGTAAATTAACGGGTAAATGTTATAATTGCGGGGAGAGCCGCGCGCGCCCAAGGCGGCTGAATCGTGCCCCGGAAACACCACCGACTCGCCCAATGAATTTTAATTTTTACGAGACCCCCCTTCCCGCTCTCTATCTGTGATCGTCGATTACGTGCCACGAGTACAAACACGATATTTCTTTCGATCTGTTTCGCAAACTTCGCTGGAGTAAACCGTCGTTTCTTTCGACTCGGACGATCTTGTAAAAAGTTTTCCCGGAAAATAGATTCTACGCGTAAAAACGACGCGAAATTGTAGGGGAACCTTTTCTAGTAGGGGTCACAGTTCGCGAGATAATCGGAGCCAAAGATATTTGGGGCACTGATTGTTTAAGAATTGTGAAACGTAAGAGAAACGATCGACATCTGCGTAACAATTCGTTTTAATTGATTTGTTTGTTA